CCCTTTGGTTAATACTACCGCTTTAAGCAAACATAAAAAATATCCTTTTTACACAGTATTTAACAGCCCGTATAAATAAGGCCAAGGAAAGTGACTTTTTACTTGAACAAATAAAATTGTGTGTAAATGCTTTCTATATAAAATGTGGGAACAATAGCTGTTTTTATATGGTTAAAAAGGGTTATACAAAATATTTAAAGTCATTAAATTAAGAGTAAGAGTAGGCATTTTTGTTGAATTTTTATGTCGACATAATCCAAGGATTTGTATGTTACAGTGTAACATTGTTACACCAAAATTAAAAAAGATATGTGAACATAATTTTTTGTAGCAAACCAGGGTTTGTAATTATTTTAAAAAAGGTAAATATTTTACATAAAGTTTTCTAAAGGTATATGCAATTTCAGGCAGCCAATCAAAACATTTCCCACTGACAATACGAATCGACAAGTTCAACTGACTTCAGCATCTGCAACTTATGTTTCTGCTTACTTTATTTTAATTCATAACGTGTTCGTAAGAACTGTCCAGAGTGGTTATAATATATTACCAGAAATCTGTTATTATTGTTATTCGCATTCTTTAAGGGATAAAATTTAATAATGGTATAAATTGGTTTAATAATAATAAATTTAAAAAAATTGTCATAGTTATTCTTCATTTTCTAATAAAAGATGAAATCCAAGAGGGTTGTACGAGAGAGACCGTCGTTATTATTTATAGGGACCGTCGTTATTTTTATAGGGACCGTTGTTCTTAGCAACTATAGCAACTATAAAAAGAATAATAACATAATGATTTAATTAAATGGAAAGTTATTTATTAAACAAATAGCTCGTTTACAAAAAAAAAAGTTATAAGTCTAGATTATCATAAATGTTTTGTGTGTAATCATTTTCTTGATAACAAAATTTCTTTTGGAAAACGGGTGAGGAGGTGATCATTTGCATAATTTTTCAAATATGTAACAACGTTCCCTATGTTAGTAACAACAGTCCCTTTTCATGAGGACCGTCGTTACAGGGGACCGCCGTTGCGATTAGACACAAATAAAGGGATTAAGACCAAGGTCTCTGTGATCAGTTTACAAAAACTTGGGGTTATGTATTGTATATGGGTCAGAATTTCTCAAACGGGCCACCTGAATTAGGTCAAAATTAGTTTTTGATTGTAGATACATTTTTTCGATAGTATTTTACATCACTAACACAAATCCTAAAGGATTTTGTAAAAAAAAAAATTTCAATTGACATATTCATGATATTAAAAGTAAAAGTTTTTAGTAATTAAAAAATAAAAAAAAATCATTATGGCTAAACTAATTATCCGATTCCAACGATTTAACTAGCGTTGGAATCTTGTTTTGACATAGATTCTTTGTTATTTTTTTCAATTGTACAATTTTCATTTAGGTCGATTTTTTTTTGTTTTTTTTATAACAAATTCGGAAATAATTGGCTTCTGCGCCAGCTATCGACTCGAAAAAAAAAACACATATACTCCAATCATTTTTCGAAATTATGCTGCTGAGAAAAAAAATGGCCCGCAGGTTCCAGACCACCGTAAGACGTCGCGTCACAAGCGCGTACAGCGTACACGGTTCGGAGCGTGAGCTGACACCGCGCGCGGCCACAAAAGGACGAATAACTTTTTGTCAACCTGCGGGCCATTTTTTTTCTCAGCAGCATAATTTCGAGAAATGATTGGAGTATATGTGTTTTTTTTCTCGAGTCGATAGCTGGCGCAGAAGGCAATTATTTCCGAATTTGGTATAAAAAAAACAAAAAAAAATCGACCTAAATGAAAATAGGACAATTGAAAAAAATAACAAAGAATCTATGTCAAAACAAGATTCCAACGCTAGTTATATCGTTGGAATCGGATAATTAGTTCAGCCATAATGAATTTATTTATTTTTTAATTATTAAAAACTTTGACTTTTAATATCATGAATATGTCAATTGAAAATTTTTTTTTACAAAATCCTTTAGGATTTGTGTTAGTGATGTAAAATACTATCAAAAAAATGTATCTACAAACAAAAACTAATTTTGACCTAATTCAGGTGGCCCGTTTGAGAAATTCTGACCCATATGTCATTGAACAAATCTAAAATGTTTAGTCAGGAATATAATTAAAAACAATTAAGATATCATTAGGGACCGGCGTTATATATTAAAAAAGTACTCATTAAAATATCAGGCTTAAACTAAATTTATTAAATTAATATTTACAATTAGAAGTACTTACCGCTCTGCAGTCTCGTCCCAGCTCTTGACTGAGTAAGTCGCTTGGCAGCAGAGGCAGAGATTAAACGTAAAACGTTAAAACGATAACCAACAAATAATTATTATAATCCCTCATAGTGCAAACAACTATAGTGTAACAAATACAGTGAGTACAGACTACTCTACGGTCAATAATTAGTTAAGGGCCAAGTGAAAAGGAAGAGTGAAGTGACAAGTGCAAACGAACATAGTGAAACGGTCAAAAGAGTTAAGTGTTAAGTGACAAGAAAGAGTTAAGTGACAAGTGTCAGTGTCTGAGCGGTCGCACCATCTGTCAACAGGACGATTTTCACTGGCCAAACAAAAGAGGTCAAACAAGGGAGAAATAGGCCACCTGCAAATAATTGATAAGTATCCTCAACTCATCTGCATGACCTAACACATAATTTGCAAATTAAACTAAACAAGGCACATTGTCTAATCCCTACAAAAAACAATAATCATCGGTAACAAAACAATAGAAAGTCAATACTATCAAAAAAAAAACAAACAGCCGATCGCGGATATACACCAAAGCTGAACAGGGCAATAAAGCTGTCAACGAAACAATTCAAGTATAACAAACCGAGACCAAATAAATTTGACACTTAAGACATAAATAACACTCATAAACTAAGAAAACATAAACAAAGTAAAAAAAGCACTCTAATCAAACTCCATGGAATTTGTAAACTCATTAGACTACACTAAAAGTAAAAAAAATACCTGCTAATGGAAAAACCATTACCAAAAGGGTAGTAGTAGTAGTAGTAGCCCAATTAAATAGACAACGCAACAACATACTACAAGCCACCCTTAAACTAGATCTTACAGACAAAAAAGTCGGGAGACCATGCTTCACATTTCATGACACGTTAGCACAAAACATGCACCTCTCACAAATTAACAAGACCAGTTGGGAGCAACTAAGCAACAATAAAAACAAAATAAATAAAACAACTGACACACTTTACCAAGTGCAGGAACTATCTGACACGGACAATGACAATAATGAACAAGACGAAGACCTCGGCTAGGAAAATACACCCCTGCAGCGTAATAACAACTCTCCAACTCCAAATAGTAATCCCAAATGTTTGGAGTAATACTAATCGACTGGTCTAGGGGGATTCCGCGTCGTACTTAGTTTTAAGTCGGCGTAATTGTTCCCCAAAAACCACCTCCCGTCCCTCCTCCATATCCCACTGAGCGTATAGCAAAGGCTCGGCGAACCCGAGAATGGCTATTAAAACTATTCGCCTCTCGCTCTCGAGCCCCAAATAGGGGACAGTACGGAACGCAATGGACATTCGCAGCCAGCAAACACGGGTGAAGCCGTGCAGTTGCTGGGGAAGAACAAAAATCGGCGTAAGTAAACATAGGCCTGTACGGGGTTCGAGAGTCAAGAGGAAATGGGGCTGGTTATACGTTTCTTATACTATGTTAATAATATTGGTTGAAGATCAGTGACAAGTGTTTCCCTTATGTATTAAGAACGGTAAGTACTTCTAGTATGATGAGTATATAAGAAGCGCTCGATTGAAATTGGGAGACATGTGATATTATTTTTTTATTAAGGCCAGTAAAAGATTTTCCAAGTAAATAAGTCTTATAACGTTATAACTATAGTTAATAGTTAATAGTTAATAGTTCTTATATTAACTAAAAAATATTTTGCAAAGATCAATTAAGGTAATCTACATAATTATATTTTGTCCCATTACTGAATTTTGTCCCTTATACCTATTAAAAGAGTGTGCGAAGTATACAAAAAAAGATGCATTCACTGGTTTTTAAACCAAAATTAGGGTATACAGTGAAGTGGGTTAAAGTTACGAAATACATCGGTAAGTGTTGTAGTAGTACTGATAGTTATTAGTTATATTGTACCAAGTTTCTTTACAATGTAATGATTTAAGAATAGTGTGTTATTTAATTGCAATTATGTTATTTTTGTGTAAATTTTTTTGTTTAGGATATTGATTATTAAAGCAACATTTCTTATCAAAATTATATTTATTTAAGTTCACAATTTCCAACAAATACTTTTGTTACTGGATCTGCAAATTTTCAAATTACCATATTTCTTTTAAAACACTTTTTATTTGTATTAAACAAAGCTTGGGATTTATATATTTAACTATTACATTTTATTAATAGTTAATTTTATAATAAATTATTTCTATTAAAAAGACGCAAAAACAAAACCCATATAAGAAAGCCAAAAACTGAAAAACTGACAATAAATGATTTAAATTAATAGGATTTTTAAAACGGGATTCAATAAATTTGTTGTTGTTGACATCAAAGAAAAGTTTTTTCGTAAATCCCACAGAATTTAAATAATGAATGTTTATTATAAACTCCCTATAAAACGGAAAGCCACGTCTCATGAAAAATGAAGTAGGAAAAGTGACAATTTTTTTATCGATAAAATGTAAAGATTTATAATCCTTAGTGGAATATAATCCCTGTAAATATTTCCTAAAACACGTTGTAACAGCAAAGGCGGTTTTTTTCTTGATGGCCACATCCGAAATGCATTTGTTTTTTTGGTAACATAACTTTATTTTTGACTTTAAAGTTGAATTAATAAAATATTGCTCTTGTCCTAAGTGAAAGTAAGGTACCAAGGTACTATGTAAAATGTTTTGTTCATTTTGGAATTTTTGCACATATTTGACATTAGATAAATTGCTGGTAAAAGCAGTGAGGATAAACACGTTTAGGAAAATGTTCAGGACAATCAGGGAAGTTATAATTATTTTTGTTTTGAGAGAAGAAAAAATTGACAACTTTATAGGCGCACCCAGTAGAAGTGAGTATGTTTTAAAGATTATGGTTGATAAGGTCATAATTCGCTCGTTGCAGTATATACCAATCACAAAAACAATAATTGTGGCAAATAAAATACATGAAGCGTTAACATCCATAATTCTACGTAGTCCGGTGGAATATTTTTCTGTCAGTTGGTAAGGAACCAACCAATAAACACCACTCCATCGCAATGGCGGTAAAAAATGGAACAGCAAAGTTCTTGCTGTTGTTAAAAAATAACCCCCCAAAAGTATGTCAAATTTTTTGGTATAAAATTCTTGAATTGATCCAGCCATAGTCCCATTTGAGTAAACATCACCAAAATCGTAAATATTATCTGAAATAATTAATCGAATTTTAATGTTTGATAATTCGGCCAATAACGCCAGAATGCTATACTCGAAACCTCTATTCTTAAAGTAATCATATTCACAGAATGAATTGTTAGAAATGTTTATAAAATTTGGTATGTCTGGCATATACATTGCAGTATAGGTATGTTTAGGCTTATTTTGTATAATTGTTATATTGTCCATTTCTATATTGCTCCAGTTACATTTTGATTTTAGACAATACGTTCCTTTAACAACTGTTACATCATACATATCATAATTACTAACAAATAGTATTGCACTTAAATCTTCCCACTGTAATGCATTCAATATTTCATTCATCAATATTTTATAATTTATCACAGTTATAAACAATTTTACTTCATTATCCCAATTCATATCTCCCTCCTTTAGATATTTTATATGTTCCAATAACTCCTGCGAACTTCCTATGCTTATTATGTAGTTTAACCTGCTGTTTGAGAATTTAACAAAATTCTTCATAGTGCTTACATTTAAAACATAAAATAAACACCTACAATTATTATAGTGGGCACAATTCGGTAATATATAATCCTGTATAACCTTTTCATCATCTAAAACAACCGATATGGGCTTAGAAACATCCTCCATCTTCATAAAATGTTGTATCAAACAGTCCAACATATTTATTGCAATTTCTGAAGAACTTTGTTGAATAAGTACAAGGTTTATTAAAACTGCGAACTGCATTTTGAGAAACAAGTTACTTTTCTGGGACAACCAATTTTACATGAATTTACTAATGCATTTCTCATATAATATATAGAAAATTGTTTGCTCATATTATATTATTCATCATGTTAATGGGAAACATTGTATGCACCTTAATGTTATGGTAAATATAAAAGTATATTGCTATAGAACTACATTTACCACAACAGTTTGCAGAAGGATTTACACAAGGAGACAAGGGCGTAGGTAGGGGTTTCTTTTCTATCTATATCCAACTTTTTTGCTCAGAAACTACATAAATTCTTCACTTGATATCAGTGGCGGCTCGTGACCATTCATAAAGGTGAGGCCCATGGCACCGCAGGCAATTTTTTTTTGAAATTTTCAAGGTCTCGCGTTTTTGGAGCACTTCAGAATCTAAATAAAAATATATATTATTTAAAAATATGTTCTTTTACGAGAAGAATTATTAAAATTTAGCTAGAATAATACAAAAAGTGCGGGATGAGGTGGGATTTTTATTTATTCCTTCAGCAGGTTTCCACATTACCCAGGAGGTAGGTACTGCTCATTATTACCTATCTTACAAAAATTATTTTTAGATTAATAAAGGCACAACCGCACAACAAAATGTACAAGCACAGTAGGTATATGAAACTCAACTATAAAAAAACATGAATATTTTTATTTATATTTTTTGTGAGTTTTACTGTAATAATGTATTTTACTTTTCATTTTAACGCTAAGGCAAAGACTAAACAGAAATAAAAAACTTTAAACACCCCCTCCCAGTCTTTTACAAAGGCTGATAAGCGAGCCGCACAGATCTCGGGACTGACTCTGCTGTCTTCCATACTGTGGTACAAGCCCAACTTTGTGGGCCTCAATGTCTACAAAAATTCGAGTATTATCCCCGCCTTGCGGGGGTGCCGGCGGCACCGTGCAGCGGTGGGGAGCATGTGTTGTATCGGCAATGTGTGACGTATATGAAGCGCAAATTTTTGGGATTACTATTTCCCTATTATGCGGTCGGGCAATGATTTAAGCGTTTAGAATTAAAGTTGGAAGGGGTGCGCGCTAAATTTAAAGGAAATATTTTAAACTTTGATGGTTATTCGATGTTTTGATACTTTTAATGACTGGAAATTGGTTTAAAAACGTTTTATATTTAAACAAGTAATGTTTTGAACATTTCAAAGTATATTGTAATTTTAACATGGAGGCCCGGCCTCAGTTGCTTTATACGACGAGCCGCCACTGCTTGATATTATGAATTTACCTGAAAAATAATAAATTTAAAGATCTTCAATCAAAATGGAGTATATTAAAGATCAAATATGTGTTAAGACGTCTTTGCTATTTTGAAAATAAGTGAGACTTTTTTGCTATAGCAAAAAATACGAATAAATTTCCACGTCACCCGGGAGGTAACTTTTAACGGCAACGATGGCGACTTATGAAGTTTTAAGTGCTGAGTTAAACAAATTTAAAAAAGAAACTTTAATTGAACTTATCATCAATAAGAAAATACCACCAGGATTAACAACAAGTGAAAATTTAAAAAAACATATAGAAACCAATGAAAACAGTGATAAAGAATGTAATAACCACAAAGAACAAGACCTAACCTACAATGAGGTACGTGTTTTAAATCTAAAACATGAGATAGATATAGCTAAAATAGATTTGGAACATACGAAAAGGCTAGTAAGTGAGCTAGAAAGAACCATTGAACACCAGAAAGAAATAATTTCTTTATTAAAGTATTCGCAACCAAAACAAATTATTTGCGACGTTGCCAATACTAAGTTGATTCCTCAAAATAAAGGAAAATTTAATCAAACCGAAAAAACTGCAGTAGAAACCATAGTAAAGAATAAAGAAACTCAAAAAAAACAGGAACATCAAACTGAAAAAAATGCAAACAAAACAATTGGAAATAACTCCGATGTACACCAGAGTTTTGCTTCAGCAACAAGAAAAGCATGGCTATGTATAAGCAAAATCAAAGTGGGTACCAAATGCGAAGATATAGAAACGCATCTAAAATCAAAATTCCCTAACAATGACTTCACTATTGAAGAGCTTCCTAGACGTAAGGAGGCAGCAAGTATGTCCTTCAAACTTGGAGCCGATACAAATTTACTAAATGAGCTGAATAAACCAGAAACTTGGCCAAATGGAATTTATATAAAAAGATTTTATTTTAACCAAGGTACTTTCGGTGAAAAAGGAAACAAAAATGAGTAAGGCATTTACTTTATTAAATATAAACATACAATCAATTAATACAAAAATTAATTCTTTAACATTCTTTTTAAGTCAAAATAAGATTGATGTTTTATGCATAGCAGAGCATTGGCTAAAACAGGAAGTTATGCCCATTATTTATATTAATCAGTACAAGATTGTTAGTTGCTTTTGTAGGCAGGAATACCTGCATGGTGGGGTATTTATTTTGGTCAAAAACAATATAAAAGCTGAAAAGATAGAATATATTAGCGACTTATCTATTGAAAAACACATTGAAATAGCTGCAATACAGTTGGTAACAAAAAACATTATTGTTATAGCACTATATAGATCCCCGTTAGGAAACTTTGAACAATTTTTACAAATTCTTGATGAGGCTCTGCAAAAAATCTTTAAAAAAAATAATGATAAACTCATATATCTGTGTGGAGACTTTAACATTAACTTTTTGGAGAAATCTTCTCAAAAATCGCAGCTACTAAACTTACTTAATATATATGGACTAAATATTGCATTCAATCAACCATCAAGAATATGGAAAAGCAGCTCAACGTGCATAGATAATATAGCTACCAATACTAATATTATGTCTTGCATTTTAGAGACGATAAATCCACATCTGTCTGATCACATGGCTCAATTGATAACAGATCCAACCCATATGATGCTAAAACATAACAAATCAAAGTTTATTTATAAAAGAGAAGTTAGCAGTAGTAATACTTACCATTTTGAAGAGATGTTTTTATCTATTCCATGGAACAATGTTATTGAGGAAAGAACCGCACAACAAGCGTTCACTTACTTTCACGATACAATGATAAAACTATATCAGGTGGCATATCCTCCTAAAAAGAAAAAAGTATATGATAATAACTTAAGTAAAAAAGAAATATGGCCAAATGAAATAAAAAATATGAAAAATACTCTTGATGCACTTGCTGTTATTGCACAAACAACTAAAAACTCGGATTCATACCGAGCTTATAATATCTTTAAAAAAAAATATCATGAAAAACTGGAACAAGAGCGAAAAAAAAATAATACAAACTATATAAAGTCTTCTTTAAATAAACAAAAAGCAATCTGGGAAGTTATAAAAAAGGAAACAAATTCAAACAACAAGAAAGAAGAAATAAAAAGCAGTATCACCGCAGAACAATTCAATTCATATTTTACAAATGTACCAAATAATATTCTTTCAAAGATAAATAACATTAACTCTCAACCAGATAACTTGTTTCTTAAATCGAAGGCTCTGAATAATGCAGACTCCATGTTTTTTGAAAGCACAAATGAAAAAGAAATATTTAATATAATTTCCAATATAAAATCAAAAACAACCGAAGACATTTATAGCTTTACAACTCAAATTTTAAAATTATTGGCAACATGTATATCCTATCCACTAGCAATTATTTTTAACAAATGCATAAATGAAGGCTACTTTCCAGAAGAACTAAAAATTGCCAAGATTATTCCGATTTTTAAAAAAGGGGATCAAAATAACTGTGAAAATTTTAGACCAATATCCATATTGCCTGCAATTTCCAAAGTTTTGAAACGCTAATAAAAAATCGAATTATGGATTATTTTGAACATAAACATTTATTTAATAATACTCAACACGGGTACAGAAAAGGAAAATCAACAATGACTGCCATATATGATGTTATTAAAGCAACACTGGAAGCACATGACAACTCTGAAAAAACAGCAATGATTTGCTGTGACCTAAGCAAGGCTTTCGACACTGTAAATCATTCAATTTTATTAGAGAAACTGGAATATTATGGGATAAGAGGGCAACCTCTAAACTTAATGTCATCTTACCTGAAAGGTAGACTCCAATGCGTAAAATGGAAGGAAGAAATTTCGTCCAAAAACATTGTTGTCCATGGAGTTCCACAAGGTTCAGTACTTGGGCCAATTTTGTTTATTATATACATGAACGATGTTACGAGCAACATAACCACCTACAAAGCAAGTGTCTATGCGGATGACACTTCATTTCTGGTCAAATCCAAGAGTCACGAGCACATCGATCCAGTTTCAATGGAAACACTGCAAAGAACCAAGCTTTGGATGGAGAGTAACAAATTGGTTTTAAATGAGTCTAAAACACAAACTATGAAGTTCTTTACTGTAAACGACATAAATGTGGTAAAATTTTTAGGTGTTTACCTGGACAACAGGCTGCGTTGGAGTGAGCATATTGATGTACTGTGTAATAAACTTTCTAGTGCAATTTACTGTATAAGAACTTTAAAATTACATGCCAGTCATGAAGCAGCAAAGTCATCATATTATGCAAATTTTTTTAGTCATGCTTCATATGGTATTATATTTTGGGGTTTGTCTGTTGAAGCTGGTCGTATTTTTGTGTTGCAAAAAAAAGCTTTAAGGGTCATATGTAATTTAAAATTCAATGAAAGTTGTAGAAACGCGTTTAAAAATGAAATAATACTTACCATTCCGAGCATTTATATATACCAATGTTTAAAATTTGTCAGAAATCATCTTGATGAATGGGCTGTAAACTCAGATTCTCACAATCACAACACCAGATTTAAGGACTCATTGTTAATACCTAGATGTCGCCTAAAAATTACCCAGCAAAGTGTGGATTACTGGGGGATCAAATTTTATAATGTGTTGCCAAAAGACATTAAAGTTCGAAATAATAAAATGTTTTTAAAGACTGTGAAACAATTACTTATAAAAAATGTGTTTTATTCTGTACAAGAATTTTAAGATTTTAACTTTAATTTAATTTAAATTTTAATTTTATCTATTTATTAATTAGTTTATTTGTTAGTATTAGTGTAAATTATTTTAAATCCATTGGATGTCTGTAACACTTTATTGTAGTATATTTTCTTTGTTTACCTATGTACCTGACGTTTTCTGTAATCTTTATTATATGAATAAACATTATTATTATTATTATTATTATTATTATTATTATTATTATAAGCTTAAAATTTGGCGGAATGACACACCTTCAATTTGTTAAACGTAGTATTTGTAAAAAATGCGCATGTTTAATTTGCTCACAAGGCCGTTAGGCCGAGTGTGTATTAACACTAGCTTGAAGAAAGCTTTTCTCACAAGTGAAAAACAATGTTTTTTCTACCATCCTTTTATTTTTTATTATTTTCAAATACAAAACAAAATAACCTAAAAACGTGTTTGACAGCTGTTAAAATTACTTTCCTCGTATTCTTTTAATTTTTAAGGTTAGAGGTTAATTAAAATCAATAAACTTACCTTCTCAATTTAAATAAAGGCACCAAAAATTAGAATTAATTATAGAAACACAATTAATTGTATTCTAAATGATATTTATAAATCTATCTATAATCTATATACATACATAATACAATACAAATGTCAAACGATGCTGTCAATTTCTTTTCACACAGACCTGTCACTTTTCATACAGAAATGTCACTTTACATTTGAGTTTTGCCTTGCCAATGAAAATATTAATTTTCTAAGCAACGATTCCATTACGGAATGTGACGGGCTAGGCCATAAATAATTTTTTCTACTCCCACCTTTAAAACGACCCTAAGTGACCTTTTAAATACACATTGACAAGTTGTGGCTTTATGGAACTTTAGTCACGGCTGAAGTTAGCAACAGGTTTTTAGTCACGGGCTGAAGTTAGTTTTAAGTTAGTTTACAGTTGTCAAATGTCATACACTCGCTAAAATAAAGTGCCTTTCTTGTAAAATAATACTAAATGTAAAAATTATTTTATAATCTCAATACAAAAATACAAAAGTAATAAATAGTTTCTCTACTATAACTTAAATTCGGGCACGGACTCCACTGTAAAGTGCTCGTAAAATATTTTCTTTTCTATTCACTGTGAAAAACTGCCAATTTTTAAGAAGTACATTTCGATTTATAACCTTTATAATCTGTGTTTAAAATTTAAATTTTAAAAATTTGATATTTGACGATGACACACAGATTATCATATTGTTTCATACATGGCGCTCTATACAAATTTTTGATTTAAATCATTTTAAGATAATAATAAGTATTTGTCGTAAAAAAAGTATAGTATGCACCTCGTTTATAAACTTTTCTATTCACTCATAAATTTAAGCACTCGCTCGCAAGCTCGCTCGTGCCTAAATTAAATTCGTGTATAAAATGGCGTTTATTAAACTTGATACATAATGTACTATAACCCAATTGTTCCAAATCATTGTTAAGTGCCTAGGCCATAATAAATTACTGTAGTAACGAGTGTTGACAATAAAGTTTAAATTATAGACCATTTGAAGATAAAAATTATTGTTTATTATGCTAACTGACATTTATAATAATAATGACATATTATGTTGCCAAATCTATTTGCTTATTCAAGATTTTTTGTTACAGCGTTTTTTAACTTACTTTATTTTTAATTTAACATTAATAAATAAAACGCTTTAACATAATGTGTAAATACACAATGTGTATTACACAGTGTAATACACATTGTGTATTTAAAAAGGTGAATAATGTTGAGATTTTACATTACCGACTTTTTCAGTGTGCATGCTACTGGTCTTATTTTATAAAAATCTTCAAGGGATATTTAGTGTTGTGCATTGGCACAAAGAAAATGGTTTATTAAAAATATTAAAAGTTAAATGCTTACATAAATAATTTTATACCTTTTTACAGTGGTTTAATTAATTTTATGAAACATTTATGATACTTAACTTTTAGTAAATAAAGTAAAACAATGTATTATTAATACTTAAAAATGAGCATCTGCAATAAAAATGAGATTGAAATAGAATTTTTAATCTTTAATACCTTCAGTATATTTCATAATTAATTATTTTGATGTAAAATCTAAATTTTATTGGTAAGATTATTTTAATACGTTAATCATTATTAGAGCCTTGAATTGTATACATATATGCAAATGCTTACATTGTTTGCTGGTATATCCCTAAATGTAACATACATGTAACTACAAATCTATCGAA